AAGGAATTTTTATGATCAATAATACCCAGTTTTAGAACAGATCTATCTTTTTCCTTCTTAAAGTATATTTGCATTGAATTTTTAGTGATAAATTTTGATAGTGTAACAGAGCGGAGTGGAAAACTCACGGAGAGGCATTTCTCCAGGAGTTCGTACAAACAGACTGAAGAAGAAGAAGTGAGAAGTCTAATGATGTGTTTCTTCAACTTTATAGCACTGTTTGTGAATCAGATATCCTTCATTATATAGGTCCTCTGGATTGCAATACTTAATATGCGAATTTTGTGAAAACTTTACCGGTTTTTATATATTTAAATTTTCTAATTCATTTAACCCCAGTATTTTGAAATAAACTATTTGAGTGGTCCAATTTTGAGAAACACACCGTACTTTATTTATATATTTCCATATTGTTACTAATTTACAATCACAACTAAAATTTTATAAATAATGATTACTGTATCAAATCAATACATGTTTTTATAACTAAATAAAAAGCATATCGGGATGGTGAAAAAGTTTGTTCATCTTAGCATGACAATCTAAAATTAAATTCTTTTGTAAGTAATTTGTTTACAAAAAAAGGCATGAAATTGCACGAAAAATCACAGTTGAATTACGTATGTATATAAAATTTAAAAAAAAAACAATTCTTGGAATTTTAATAAAATATTTGATTTTTTTATTACTGACTAAAATTTGACTAGTAGCATATAAAAAATTAGATCTAGAAATGTTCTAGAAAATGGGTACAAAATAGCCATAGACCTTGTTTTAATTAAAACGCTTCATTAAATAATAGCAGCAGGTTTTGATTTGTCTATTCTTTTTAATCCCCATATCTTTGGTATGCTCTGTGTTTCTACATGCCTCTCCGGTTTTTCAATCGCTTCATATTTATTGCCTACACATTCTTTCAATATTGTATCACAATAATTTTACCCCTGTTTTTCATTTATTTCTTTACTTGATTGGTTACTATTTAATTAAGCTCTATCAACTGCACCTGAAGATATAAAAATACTGAATTTAGCTCTTAGACAATTAAAAAATTACCTGAATAATTATAAAAATTATGGTATTGAACATATATACCGTGTTATTCG